AACTCCCGCCTCCCATCTAACAACTACCCGTTTTATTTTGAAGGAGATAACCTTGAATTTGATTCAAACAGATATTGACACAGCTAGTTATAAGGTGAAAAAAATTGTTTTCTTCCTTCCAAAATTACATAATTGCTAAAACATTTACCATTTATGTGTAACATTTTGAAATAGAATTTTAAGAATTTTATCACTATTACAGAAGAATTTGCGTTTGAGTAGACATGTGTGATCCAGTTGTTGGCGCTTCTGGTTCCCTTCTTCAAAAATTCTAGATTCTGATCCCATGGGAGCTATTGACTCGCTTTTCAACCCCTGGCAAGACCTTCTTGCACCTCAATAATCCCAGTTGGAAAATTAGGTAAAATAAAAACATGACCTCATTAAGAAACAGATGCTTCATCTGAGTATTGCTTTCTTAAATAAACACATTACAGAGCTTCTTGTGACACTTTTTTGAGGATATAGTGCTATGTCCCCTTGTCCATTGGTCAGTCTGGGGTCAGGAGACAAGAGCTTGAAATTTTGTTTAATTTGCAGACCAAAGTTTAGAAAAACAACCAATTTCCTTCCCGAGGTTAATGTTATAAGCCAGCCCTGGTTGTACAGTAATACCTGAGTTGAATAAGAAGCTGAACCAACATTTTCCTTTAAAGTAATGTGTCTGCCCTGATGTATATTTTCTCAGATTTCCTAACACCAGATTTACTTGTGAAGTTAGGGAGGCAAAATGATTTTAAAATCTATATTGTGAATATTAAAGAGATTTATTTAATAAATTGATACCCATTTGCCAATTTAAGAAAAAACAATTATACTAGAAAAATTATCAGATGACTAATTGTTTGCTATATCTGAACTAACAATACAACTCAGACTCTTACCTTACAGACTTAGTTTTAACATGTTATCATAAATTCATGTCCTTAGCCTAATTGCAATAAACTCCTTCCTTATGTTATTCTGTGCAATGGGCACTCAATAGAGAGACTGTTGTATTTAGGATGTGATTTAACATCTATTAAGAATAGATCAGTATTTTCTACAAAAGCACCAATGATTTATACCTCGATTTTTACTAATGACTTTAAACAAGACAGAGTTCTGAGATACACATCACTTGGGAAAATCCTGGAATAGACAGTTACATTATTCTCTAACTTTCACTCTGACTTCTCTAATAACACTTTTTTTTTTTTATTTAGTATGTAAGTACAAATGTCATTAACAAGTACACCCACGACACAATGTATTTGGTCCTTAAATGCCTTAGAATTTTAGGTGAGAAATGTCCAATTACATCAATCAAGAACTAAAGATTCACTAAGAAAGATAGTAATGTAAATAAGATGGCTTAACTTAGTTAAAGCATGCAAACAGATCTTCAGTCTTTTGACTATCTACTGATTATAAATGTTTGCAAATACAAATACTAATTCTTCCTTAAATCAAGACTATGGGACTGCTACTTGAAGCTCTGACAGTGAGTTTTTGCCCCAAATCCATTCTGTTTTGTATCTCTTACTAGGAGCTTTCACGTTATGTTTTTCTGAAAGAGCTTGGTTGAGATTCTTCAAATCTCTTCTTTTACTCTTCAAAATTGCTTTGAAACCTCTTCACCCTTTTATCCCCTATACTTTGATTTTAAAAAGAACTATCTCTCTGTTTTTCCAGAAAAAGTGAGAATTGTCTTTCAATGGTTTTCTGGTATCTTCCTACCTTCTCCAAGACCTCGCCCCTCAAATAACATCACTCTGTATTGTTCTAAAACGTCATCGTAAAATACATTTTCAATAAAAACACCAATGAATTACTTAAGGAATTGTAAATATTGTCCCAATATTTCCTTATATTCATTTGCTGTTTTACTCTCTGGGACACTGTAAATCCCAGTTACGTTAATCTGCCAGGAGGTGGTATGTTGAAGAAATGTAATTTTAAATATCTGCGGTGATTTATGAAGAAACTTTCACTGGAAAAGTTAGCTGTCTTAGATGATTGGTGACATAATGACAAATTCGGATTCCCCTTCACAACATGTACTTGAAATATATTGTTGCCAGGGGCACTTTTTCAATTTCCAAGATTCTAGATTTTTCTCTGTTGATCAGCTCTTACTGTTCTAGTGTGCTCTCTTTACAATAAGTGTGTCCCTTTAAATAGGCTATGCTTTCATATGTACCTTGCCATTTGAGGGCTCAAAGACACTGGCAAATTTAAGATTGACATTAGATATCTTAGCATAATCATTGGGGGATCACATTTGTAAATACCACTTTTCTCTCTGGTCACAGGCTTTGCTATGTGTGTCACGTCTTTCCTGAAGAGCATCCAAACATCCCTCACATTGATCTTCCATTTCAATTCCTGTCTAGCTCCTGCAGGGAAGTCACATGAGTCTCTCTCGCTGTGCCCTGGTGCCAGCTACTGTGGAACAGGCTGCCTGTTTCTCTGGGTGCTTAAATGTTTCTCACATTGCCCATAACTCTCATTGCCCTTGAGAGAGCATGCCTGTCCCACCAGCTGACAGACTTTTGTCATGGAGGACAGAACATTCATCTGCCCTCTGAAGAGTCTGTCTCTAAATGGACCTTCAGGCAGTCCGCTCCAGACTGATTCTTGGAGAGCTTACAAAATTCACATCTCCTTTTAGCTCTTGCTGAAGTGGAACTAAGATTTATCCATGCTCAGAATGGCAATCTCTTCTGATGGTCACGTAAGAATGTCTCATATGTATCTTCAGCAGAAATTAAGTTACATAGATAAACTAGTAAATTTAGGGAGCATAAAATTCACAATACTATGTCAAGTAGCATGCCATAATGTTCATAAAATTATGCCAAAATATTTTTAAATAAACTGCTTTGGTTATATAATGGAAATCTTTATAATTATAAGCCTTACCATGCTGTATGAAAGAAAAAATTGAAGTACTCTCTAGGGCCTCTCAAAGTGAATTTAGCGTTTGCCACGCGGCCTGCATTTTAAATCAGAAATCAAAAGTCCAGCTTCCAAATGAAGTGACAATCCCTTAATGCAATAATAAAAATGTATATAAAAATTGCTATTTAATTTATGTAAAAATTTGGAGGGAAAACACGATTAGTCCATTAAATAAATATGACTGTGTTATGAAATAGAATGCAAAAATTACATTTTTTAAAAATATAAAACCTGGATTCAAATAAATATCATGTTGCAGAGGTCACCTTAGGCCACATTTTCTCTCCCTTTTCTATACCAGTGAAAAAACCTCAAGTGTGAAATTTCCACACAGATCCCAGTGTCAGCTGATAAAGATTTGACTTTGGAAAAAGAGTTCAAGAAGCACAGAGTACATTCTCAACACGTGTCTGATGTACTAAGTAACTAAGCCCTTTGGAATAGGACATAAATGAAAGGTTCTGTTTTTGTATGATAATGTAGTTCCCTGAAAAACTCAACATACCGCTCCCCCGCCCCCCGCAAAATGAGCTTCTGCCAGCCTCCTCTTACATGTTATTTAAGACATACTTTGCAGACTGTGATGCACATTCATCTTACTGACAAATAAAACGTGAGTGTGGTGAGAGCGTTTCCCACTTGCTAGCCTAATAAATGCTACTGAAATAAATAACTGCCTCATTAGCATAGAAATGTGGAGCCTCTGAAGGTCACCAAGCCCTAGCAACCTGATTTCAGCCAGAACAGCAACCAGCTGCTCGATGGACAATTTTGTTATGAGGTGTTGGTGATTTAACAAGTTGGCCAAAAGCAGTTGGAATGCAGTGTGAAAGATTTCATCTCTGTTGGGTTTTACTGGTGCACACTGGACTTTTTCGTTGGAATGACCTAAATTTCTGTCTTTGCCATTCAGAAACCCTTAGAGAATGCAGTAATCACTTTTCTATAGGACTTTCTTTTATAGTGGTTTGTGTATAACTCCTTAAAGTTTTCCAAAAACACTACTAGAAGTATTTATTGCCTACTTTTTGGAGTTTCTACAAACTGCTGTCTCAGAATTATTTTTAACAGCATTTTAGATCTATTGGAAAATGTTATTTTATGTGAAAATGAATCTTGTGTAATAAAAACAGTTTAGTCAACTTATAAGAACGTGGTTCTGTTTTTGCGATATAATATCCACCTTGTAGAATGAAGATGGCAGTGGCTGGGGTTGCAGGTAAGCACGACACCACCTAGCTGAGTGGTTTTGGACAATCACTTACCTTCCCAGTATTTGTTTTCTCTTCAAGTTCTACTACTTCATGATGGGCATTTTAGTATTTTAGACATTTCTTAATGGATGTATTTTTTAAGTATGCCATCTATTTGTGAGACTAGTAAGCATTCACAACTCACTAAATAATGCAAAGAAATGAAAGGGTAAAACAAGCTGATGTTTGCATGGCACCAAAAAGTTACTAATTTCACTCCTCTTTCTTTCCCACTCCCCCTCCCCCAGTCACCTCTTACATAGCTACCTATTAACTTAGCCAAGAAAATGGAAGTCATCTACTAAGTGTTTGCAACTTGCAGAACATTGAGTTAAATACAGAAGTTTCAACGGTCAATGGGGGTAAATATTCTCTGATCTCGTGGGAGTATTATGGTTGATCAGAGAAGGTGGAAAATTAGACAAGTAATTACAACAATATGTAGTGAGGGCTATGACTTAATCCCACAGTTGCCTTGCAAATTCTATATTCTAAATAAGACCTTGTTTTTACATATCATTGAGCATATGTGATCCATATGGATTATGGGAACATCCATTCCTTAGTGTGCTTTTTCAGATTTCCTCTAAATGTTCACCAAAAGTGACTGCTTCTAACTACATGCAGCTTTAATTTCCCTCGGGGTCTATTCTCTGTGTGAGAAGGCAATTAAAATGAACTCACATACAATTGCGGGATGCGGGAGGCGGGGGCCAGGGGGAGGAATCAAATGCTAGTATAATTGTCATAGAAAAGTAGAAATGCAAAATCACTCATTTGCACTTCCTGTATTCTCTCCCTTAGGACATCTACTTGGCCTCTCCCATGACGATTCCAAATTCTGCGAAGAGAACTTTGGTTCCACAGAAGATAAGCGCTTGATGTCTTCCATCCTAACCAGCATTGATGCCTCCAAACCCTGGTCCAAATGCGCCTCAGCCACCATCACAGAGTTCCTGGATGATGGCCACGGTATGTATTGTTAAGCACAACAAAGGCTCAGAAAGAAAATCAGATTAGTACAAGTTTGATTTCCTTATATCCTTATGATATTCATGCTGCCCTCTAAGACAATGGCGGTTTAGTGTCAAAAAAAAAAAAAAGGAGAAAGGGCACTGTCTGTTGGTGTGTAATGCCAACATCCTTGGTGGCATTATAGCTATGGTATTTTTGCTTTTTAAATTGAAAAGTTCAAAGGAGAAGCAGTGTGGGAGACCACACAGAATGCCTAGCTAGTGCCCTGAGAACTTGGCTTTTATTCTCTCTTTCACCACGAGCTTCCTGTGAGAATGCTGGCAGACATCTTGTTTTCCTGCTATTAATATGACTCTCAAAATTATTTGTTATATTTCTATTTTTGGGGTGTGGTTAAGATGTAGGTGACAATTCTGTCAGATTCTCTTTATGGCAACATAAAACCAAGAAAGGAAACTCTTTAGATTTGAATTCGCTGGAAGAATTTGGTTTCATCCTGACAGCAGATTCTCCTGAAAGTACAGTAAAAACTGCAGAAGTAGAAAATCAATCTGAATGGTGAGCAAACACTTTTAAGAACTTCAAAAGAAAAACTTTGGCTTTCTCATTTAGATACAGTTCAAGAGCACAACATACTATATTAAATGTTGTAAATCTGGGATTAGTACTGTGAATTATATAAAACAACTGAAGAAGTCACAGTTTTTAAAAAATAATAAATTCTGACCATAAGTAGTAATCTTTGAAACAAGCAGTTGCAAATTTCCTATCATTTTGTATTACTTTAAAACACTAGAAACATAGGAGAATAGACTTATTAGACTTGGAAGAAAACTTCAAGAAACTACTTAGTTCAACTTTCTCATATTACAGAAATGGATGTATTCTCATTTCTTGTTTTTCTTTCTCATAAAATCTGTCTCTAAAAATGGTGGTTGAGTTGAATATGACAGAAATTCTTGATCGTAGTAATTGTCCATATATTGATCTCAACGTTAAATCAAGAGAATCTGTGAAAACTGGTTTTTCCTAGTTCCACAAAGTTCATGGCTTGATATTTCTGTAATTTCTTGGTGAACTGGCCATCTTGAACTTTGGCTACATAATGTCAAAACAATTGAAAGTTCCATTTGTTTCACATTAAAAGAAATTTTGCTGCATAATTCTTTGGTATCTTGTAGGCAAAATTTGTTCGTTAACTCATTTTTTGCTCTGTTAATGGTAATGCTTTATCTAATTGGGACTTTTAAAATTTTCTATTCCTAAAAATGCCCAGTTTGCTTTAAATCTTTGCTTAATACAAAATACATATCCTTAGTTAATTGAAAGGATATACCAATATCTCAAAGATTTGGAAACAATACTAAGAATCAGTGTACTAGGCTTTTCCTATAGACTAATAGTAAAGTGGTAATTTTCTGTTTAGCTCAGTTTCCAATGCTGATTCAGTGTTGACAAAGTCACAAAATGAATGTTTAGTTAATTATATGCCTGTCTACATTGATCAAGTCAATATCTAAAAAATCCCTCTTGGATGGAATCTTAATCTCTACTCTTAATATTACTTTTGCTGTTTTTTTTCTCAGGCTTTCTGAAAATGAAATCACGTTAATATTTTATTTCAACATCACACGTTACACATTCCAAAAGGCTGAGCTAAACTTTGAATCACTATGAACGGATTTAGTTGCTAAGGCAGCAAATACTTATGGCTAAAGTGGGACCAAATTTTTTTTCCTGTGCAAGTATTAGGTCAGTTAATTACAATGTTGTGCAGAATTTTGTTTCTTGCTGCCATAAATCTAGAATGATTCATTTATTTCATGTTTGTGGAATTCATGATCTTACTTTCTAAGCAGTAAATATGCTTTCAGTATTGTCTTCATTTTTTAACATTATTTCTGTTTCAAGAGCTCATGATCAGTTTTTAATATTGTTTGCAACCAATTTACATACCTTATATATCTTTCTGTCTATTCCAAAGGACCTCATGGTAGATAATAAGTAAGAGCATTAAATTACACTTGACATACAATATTATATTAGTTTCTGCTGTACAACACAGTGATTATACATTTATACAACTTGCAAAGTGATCTCTCCAATAAGCAACCATCTGACATCATAGGTAGTTATTACAATATTATTGACTCTATTCCTTATTCTGTATTTACATTTCTGACTGTTTTTTTTTTTTAACTAGCAATTTGTACATCTTAATCCCCTCTCATTTTCACCCTTCCTCCCAATCCCCATCCCAACTGGCAACAATTCCAAGAACACACTTTTAATAGAAATGGATCTTATTTCCTTGCACTGAGAAAATCTTATCTAAATTTCTTATTTCTAAATGTCAAATAAATAAATTCAATTATCAAATTTTTTAGACAGCCAATTTTCATCATTTATTAATAAATTCATTTCATCAAACCTAAACTTCTTTCACTTTTGAATATGTTAGTTAGGCAGTCTTGCGTTTTAACCAAAAATTAATTTTTCAATTAAAAAACTAAAAACCTTTATTTTTATTGGTAGCCTAGAATCAATAAAATAATTTCATAATACAGAGAACAAAAGAAAGGCCTTGTGATGTGATGCAGTGGCAAAACTCAATATGTTCATTTCAAAATAGCACGTGCAGATTCAGAATTAAAACAGCAGTGCTCTCCGTAGCACTATCATTTAAATGTGAATTCAAATAATTTAATAACTTTTAAACTTCAATCAGAAAAACTGACTTAAGTCAGTTTAAGTGACAGTGTGGCAATAAGAACTAGTAAACATGATTTTAAGATGGTTGAGGTGCTGACGTTTCCATTTCAATGCTTTGGGGGGAACCAAGAAGAAAATCAACATCCGAGATGATAGAAAAACAAACAAACAAATACATCTTGTTAGAAGGCTAAACTGGTATCGTGAAACCATATAAGTTCACACCTAGAGATCAACGCAAGCTTCCCTTCAGAGGCCATTTGTTCATATGTAGTAAGAATAGTTCTACTATTTTTCTATTCTAATTTTCTAGGCCATTAAAAATTTTAAGCAATAATATAGTCGTGGTGGGGGATGGGGTACTCTTCAGACAGGTAAACTGGGAGCAAGAAATGGTATCATTTGACAATAAGGGGGAAACTAGAAAAGCTGTTAAATGTAGCTCTAAAATATTAAAAGCTCAGAGGTCTGGTACTATTTCTAAAAGGTCAAAAGCCCTATCACACCAGCGTGATCGGTGAAGGTATCTCTATATTTCAGCATGATACAAAAATCAATACTCAGAAAAAACTGGTTTTCATTTACTCAGAAGGATTAAATTATGACACTAATATAAAAGCAGCAAAGCAATTGCTGTTTTCAAGTAGATACTCTCACAAAATTTTTACAATTTTTGGATAGTAACTGAAGAATTCATTATCTGGAAAACTCTATTTATGGGTAATAGCTCATCTGTCTCCCTAGCACCTCCAACAATGCTGGAGAAATGAGGTCTTAGAGTACAATTAAATTCAAATCATTTGATTTGTTTTTAAAATTATTAGCCATAAGTAGTAGGACGTTTATAGCACTCAACCACTGCCTAATTTAAATTCATTAATACTGAGTGTTTCCTGATTTAGTTCCAACAAGAAATATGTAGTAATTAGGTTATGGCTGCAAAGTCTGTGTGCACGCTCTAAGACAACTGTGCCTGCATATCTGTGATTCAGAAAAAGAGAAGCCGTGTGTCATGGGGACCCCCCAGGCTCTGCCAGCCTAGCCAAGATAGTTGTACGCATTCTGCAGTGTTTATACAAGTTAGCTCTGGGCGAGCTGGCTAAGAGTATGATCCTCCAAAATAAAGGAAGCGCCGGCAGAGAAATTGTGCAGTGAAAGCAGGTTCTTAAATTTCTTTTCTCAAGTGCTTAATAACCTTGAAACTAAAAACGATAGCTCTGTCTGCTGTATCCCTAAGTCAACAGCGCCAGGTGATGAGAAAGGCCACCACCTGAGTAGATGCAGCTCAAGAATACCCATGACACAGGCTGCTAAAGGAAACCTATACACGGCTTTGAAAAATTGACATGTAGCATATTTAAAGATTTAAGTTTATAGTCACTTACTGAACACAGAACTTTGGAGATAAAATGATACTAGAAAGTCAATTCTCAGAATCCTTTGTAAATATAGACTGTACAGCTAATAGTAAGATCTTAACATTCAGTTTTATTGTAATCTCAGTCAAAATTTATTGGCATAAATTTGATCATAACATTATCATATTTTTAACATCTAGTGCATCTGTACTTATATTCTGTTATTTATTTAACTTTTAAGGTTCTATTTTATTTAAGTATCATTTGAGATAATATAATGTTAGTTTTGAGTGCACAATATAATGATTTGACATTCATATACCTTATAATGTGATCACCGCACTAAGTCTCCTAGAGTTAACATTCTGTTTTTAAGGTAGTCCTCATAAAATTCAAAGCCCATTATCATAATATCTTGATTTCACCATAAATGTGTTCTTTAATAGAGTCTGCAAATAAGACATATTTTAAGTCCATAGTGGCCGATATGTTTTAAAAACTGCGTTTCATCCTTTAATACAAAGAAATTTTAATCTAATGTCCTTGGCATTGCATCCACTAAACAGTGTACCTAATGCTAACAGTTTCACAAACAGACCCTTTGAATCACTTTTGTTCAGAAAACAATTGTCTGTTCCTCCGTCAATGCCCTCATTAGTGTACCTGTCACTGGGCCCATAACGCATCAGTTTCTTTTTTTTAATTTTTATTTTTCAGTTACAGTTGAAATTCAATATTATATTGGTTTCCGGTATAGTGAATAGTAGTTAGACATTTATATAATTTATGAAGTGATCCCCCCCAAGAAGTCTAGTATCCACCTGACACCACACATAGTTATTATAGTATAGTCGAC